ACTCGAACCCAAGAATGACCCTAACCCTTTTTAACTCGTGAAAACCTGAATTAAACCCGACCTATTATTCACCCGACTCAAATGTAACCCGACCTGTTATTAACCCGACCTAAACTCGACCCAAACCCGATAAGATGTATGACCCGACGTTACCCCACTCAAGCATGACCCAACCCAAACCTGACCCGTATAGGTTACGACATTAACTCGAATTGACCCGACTCACACTTACCCGACCCAAACCCGACCTGTTTACCCGAATTGACAGCTCTAGGTGAGATGATGTGGAGTAATCAGGGCCTTAATCTTTGCACAAGGATTTTTGAAATGAATTTATAAGTGGTGTTGCAAAGACTAATTGGTCTATAGGATTTGAGGGATTCAAGATTGTCAACTTTTGGGATCAAGCTGATGAGAGTTTGGTTGACGGCTTCAGGGACTTTTAATGTTGAGAAGACTTGGTGGACAAAGTGTTGCAGGTCACATTTCACCATATGCCAGTGCTATTGGAAGAAGAGACTGTGATAACCATCCCTTCCAGGGGCTTTCAGTGCTCCAATGCTGAACAAAGCATGCTTAATCTCTTTAAGAGAAGGGATATGAGCCACCTTTATGACAGTAGTAGATGGGTTTGGAACCCATCTCTGACACTGTGTCCTCTCAGATGTGAACAGTGTGGAGAAGAAAGCTTTGGCATGAGCTCTGATTTCTACAGAAGTGATGAATTCATTTCCTACCTCATCATTCAAGCTGGTGATTCTATTCTTCTTCTTTCTCATCAAGATAGAAGAATGAAAATACCTTGTGTTCTTGTCACCCCCTGATAAGCAAGATTCCCTAGATCTTGTCTTCCAATACTCCTTTTTCTGATCAAGAAGAGTGTTTAGTTCCCCTTGAAGGTACTCTTCCAGATTCCATAGAAACTGGTTGTTAGGCTCCAAACACATTGACTTTTGCACCCCAAGCATCCTTTTGATTATTGTGTTTTTCTTTTGGCTGATAATTCCCATGAATTTTTTAGCCTAACCCTTAAGGAAACAACCTAATTGAGCAAGTTTTTGTTCTGAATGGGAGATGAGTGTGTGGGCCAGGTTTGATTAACCATCTGTTTAAAGGATGGCTTAAGGTTGGAAGGTTCCATTTTGAAGGGTTTAGCTAAAGAAGGGATATGTGTGGCTGGTTGATTGTAGCAGTTTATCAAAACTGGGCAATGATCTGAGTTTAATCTACACAAATGTGTCACATGGCAGTCTGGAAAGGATTCTAACCATTTCATATTCGAAACAGCTCTTTCTAGCCTCTCAAAAATAGGTTTATGCTTTCTCTTATTGGTCCATGTGAACTTTGGCCTCGAGAACCCCAAATCAAATAAACCACAATCACTCAGGCAATCTCTGAAGGCTGTGATTCGATTAAGCTTGACAGGTTTCCCCCCAAACTTTTCATTTTGATCCAGGACTTTGTTTAAGTCTCCCATTACAAGCCAAGGAATATTAACATAGTTTGCAACAGTTCTAAGTTCATCCATGTTTTTAATCTAGCTCGAAATTTAGTACTAGCGTAAATACATGAAAGGAAAAAGGTGAAGTTGGAATCAATTACCTTCACTTTGCCATGGATGGCATGAAGATCCTTTCCTATAGTGTTGAAGGAGATTACAGAGGAATTCTAGAGCAAAATTAGCCCTCCTGAGAAACCCCATGGTTCAGCATACACATGGCTACCAAAGGGCAAACCCCTAAGGATTCGCAGAGTATGGTTAACAGAAGTTCTTTTCTCTGATAGCATAATCATATCAGGCCTATGGTGCTCAACAAGATGGAGTAAATTCACTTCAAAACTAGGGCGAGCAATGCCCCTCGCATTCCAGGCGATAAAAATCATTGGTTTAGGAGTGGGAGTGAAAGCAAGTGTCCTTGCCCCTGCCTTCTGCACAACAACTTTGCTCGAATCTCCACCTTTCCCATTTCTTTATAGTAGGTCTACCAAGGAAACAGATACAATGTTCACCTCTTCTTCTGTCATGCCGAGTGAAGCTCTCAGCTCCCATACCTCCCAGTTGCTTTCCGACTGTCCAATGAATAGGGCATTCGTGAATGCTCCCATCTCGAGGGATAATGGGGAGCTCAATGAATAGATTTTCCTCAATTGAGAGAATTGTGGAGCTGGATCCACCAAGAACAGATACTCGTCCTTCAGAATTTATTCCTCCTTTGGGTGCTTTGTCTTCAGATCCTGTTCCAAAAGTGCAGCTCCCAGAGGATAGGAACCTCGCAGATCTTCTTAACTCAGGAGGTGAGCCGACTTTTTTCCTCCTGTCAACCCTTGGGTCATCCATAAGACTTGCATCACTGATGTGGGGAGGGTGGGATCCAATATAAATTTCTTGATCAGGTCGGATTCCACAACTTCCCGACGATCTCCAGTTCGAATGAGGAAGATCATTTCATTGGTGAGAACTTCAAGGAATGAAATCACCGGTTTCTCCATGAGTGATAGCTTCTTTGGTAAAGGTTGAAGAAAAGTCAATTGAAGATGGGTGAGTGGTGTGATGGGTGGGATTTGGAATGGTGGGGGTTTTTCCATAGTACCCTTGCTCTTGAAGTAGTCGGCCAGTTGTTGACATCGGGAGGGTTCCATTGGAAAGCACAGAAGAGGCTAAACTTTTAAGGAAAGATATGATGTGAGGGGAAATGTAGAAGATAGGGTTTTTCTTATTGTACAATAGGGGAGTATGCTTACTTTCGGGTTCCGAAAGCAACAGTGTTGGGCTTTTAGGAGGTGGGCCTACAGAAAGCCCTGTATGCTGAATAATCTCAGACCCCACTCGAGCAATTTGAAATTTGAAATTTGAATTTGCTTTTTCTTTTTTCCATCCGAACAGAGCTTTGAGCGGGAACCGCTTTGTGCTCCGTCGAATTGGCCGTGGACTCGGTGGCTAGTTTAAGCTTCCTTTTCTCCTTTTTGCGTCTATTACGTTCCGCATTTTTCGATGGAACCTGAGTCCATTCACCTGCGTTTTCATCCTCGAGCCTTGACATCGAAGCCTCATTGCTTGAAACAATTGGGTGGCAGACATGACCAAGAACACCACAAATCGGACAGAAAGGTGGCGGATTTTCCCACAATAACTCCTCTTTGACTTTGCCAATTTGAATCCATTTTTTCTCAGTTGTTTGGGGTTCCACCAATACAAGAATTCTGGCTAATTTCAACTGATTAACCTCTCTTCTCAAGTCAGCTTTGATGAATTTGCCAATAATATTCCCAATACATTTGAGAAATTTAACATTGTGAAATTCCATTGGCAATTCCGGCAAGGTAACCCAGACTGGGATTGAATGAGTATGCAGATCAGAAGCCCAAAATCCCGGGCTCCAGGGCTGACATGAAATGAAATTCGACTGGATGAACCATGGGCCTTTATCCAGAATCTTGTTCCGCTCTTCTGCTGAAGAGCAGCAGAAGCAGTAATAACCCTTTCCCAAGGCAAACCATTTGGGTTTGGAGAATGGTTTCCACAGCTTGATAAGATAATCAAGAAGGAAGGATGAAGAGTAGGACTAACCAAGAACTTTGCAAATTACCGCATTTGCCCACGGAGTTGTGAGATGATCAAAAGTATCCTTATCTAGTGGTAGGAAAAATTCCTCTTCTGGCCGTAGATCTGGCGGCTGGAAGGAAGAGATGATTTCTGATCCATTGAAATTCCCTGTTGTAGCTGTGAGGTATGCCGTTGTCGAGTCTGGAGGTTTGGGTGGTGGTGGAGGAGGGGTTGTGTTTGGGATTTTTTGTGGAGTTTCTCTCTCTCTCTCTAACATTTTTCAATTTCCACATTCATTTCCAACAATTCTACACTGTACTCAGTCTTGGGATTCGAAGAACTAATTAAGTTTGGCTATGAACTTATGAATAGTTGGGTTCAGTCAATTAAGCATGTCCACTACTTGGTACTAGAGGTTAGTGAAGCTAAACACTTGAGTTAAAACCCGAATCAGTCTAAGATCACCCTTTGTTCTCAAAGGACTGGATTACTAGTGAATTTAGGATTTAGTATACAGACAGCACGCATCAAATAAATGGCAGTTAGTAATGTACTTTGTTTTCCTACTAATGAACGAATTTTAGGCTGATTACAGTGGAATTACTAATGTCAAGGAGAAGCCATAAATTCTATGTGAGGGTGGATGAGTAGATTGTATCGTTGCAAGCGGTTTTTAATCGTGCATATAGCATGGTGAAGTGTTAAACTCATGCAACAATGCAGTCTTTTAACTAAAACTATGTCAGATATATGATGAAATCTTCAATCCTTCGATTAATTATATAATGCTTTAATATAATGTGCTGCTATTTGCCTTTCGTAATTGATAAAATATAATAAGGCACATCAGGGTATATATGATTAACATTAGTAACTAAGGGAATAACTGATACAAGTGCTATCACTGAGTATGCCATGTGTCTTGAGCCATGGCTTCGGTGCATTGTTTAATTGCTTATAAACATCTAACCAATACCATATGATTGTGATAATGCCAAGTTCTAGGTAGAGGATGGGTATATTGACAGAACAGAATGAGTACTAGCATGCAGAGATATTTGCTTTGGGAGGTTAAAACTTGTACTCCTTATAATCAAGATAGAAGGGGAACAAAGGTATTCAAATGGTGTTAAGAGTAAGCTCAACATAGTGGAGTCCTTGGATGCTACTGGAACAAATGACAAGGCCTAAGAGTAAATGCATCAGTAGACAGCTGATAATTTGATTTTCAGAAACAGAAGACATATGTTTCCGAAATGTTAAGTGAACATGCATGCATAGGAATTTATTACAGAAATTACAACAACCTAAGTACTGATAGGATATTGAAACTTTAGACTGTGGTTTCATTAGGTAGCACAAATTTATTAGATTAACTTTCAGCACAAATCTAAAGTAATAGAATTTGATAGAGGATAGATGAAAGAATAACAACAACCTAAGTACTGATAGATGTTTCTATGCCCTCGCTCTTTCAGGATAGCATAATATACACTAAACAGAAATTACAGATGCCTCACAAGTTGTGTTCTTCTGAGCAATTTTGGACTCTAAAATGACTCTGACAGCTAGAACAAGAACAAGCAGAACTATACTGTATTCTAAAACCTTCAAATAAAGCAAGCACATCATGTACTTGATCAGCTAAACCATTCTTAGTTATTGTAACCAAGCCAATGTACCAATAGCATACAAGCATGTATTACAGGCTAACTTTCACAGTATTTTCCACATTCCTACAACGTTCACTATAGTTAATCAGTGCCTAGTAGAAACTACTTACATTCTAGATTTGAGGTTCTGAAGTATGAAACTATACATCACAAGTTTCACAACCAATTCAGATGTTGTCAGATCAACGAAATTTGATTTCTAAACTCTGTAGTTCCTTGTCTGGTGCTAGAGAAATCACTTCAGTGTCACTTCTGGTCTCCTCATGAGAGCCACTTCCTATCTGCTTATGACAGTTTGGGGCAATCCGCTCTGCTTTGTAGATCAACACTAATTTACCGAGCTCTCTGAAGCAGAAGCTAATCATGACAGAATCAGCTGGTTCTGAAAGAATACACACTACGAGATATGGTCCCAGATCTGATGCATGACTCATCGCTTGCAAATGATGAAGTATGAACCATGCTCGATGAATCATATCTGGTGTCGTTCCACTAGTTCCAACAAGCTGCAAATTTCACAAGGAAAAACTTAATAATCTACACAAGTTAGAGAACCTTTAATTTCTAAGTCAATCTGATCATCCTGAACATAAGACTTCAGCACAACCTTTTCACCTCCTTACTTAAAAGCCCAACATTTTTTTTTCAATGATGTAAGTCACAAGTTCCTCTGCTATGTTCACTGACACTTCTTACTTAAGAAATCACACAGATTAAACCAAGTATATGATGATTATATGGTTGAATAATACATGAAGAATGAGATTAGGACCTTGTTGAGTTATTCCGGTTTCTTCGAGTTGAGTGATCATTCTCCTTAGAACATCAGATGTGAGAACAGCCTCACTGAACAATGTGATGTCAGGAATTTTCTCAACTTCAGCATCAAGTTCCAACAATTTCACCTTGTACTCTTCATCAGGACTGCTTCCTGAATTTATTAGGAAAAGCTCAATTAACCTTTAATAGCATATCATTATTTAGTCATGTTGCAATATTGGGAAATCTGATATGATTTGTTACCAACTATACTTTAACATAATCAACACAAGTAATGAAACCAGCACAAGATAAGGAAACAAAAAGAAAACAGAAATGAAGTTATGAAGAGTTCATGTGTCAGCTAATAATCCCAATTTTCCAGTCAAGAAGTTCATGAAAGTTCAAAATGAAGTTCTGCTAATAATTTTACATTCAGAATTCATAACATAATTACATAACTGAAATACTGCAAGCAACAACACATTATACCCAATTTCCCTTTATAAAAAAGGATATGAAGTTTTCTTTACTAAACATAATTATGTATATCTATACTTCAATTTGAATCACGCATAGTACAAGAAAATATATACAAAGAAAACTGATGTAATTATAGCATCATGTCATCGTAAGCAAATGCAGTATGAAACTATGATGAACATGAACAGCTGTAAATTCTATAACATTTCAATATGACTCTTGCATACTTTAGAAAGTTACTACACTAAAACAATAATATATTTCTAAACATCAACTTAAACATCTGAAACTTTGTTGTTGAAACATGTATGTGAGTAATACCTTACATGTCACAAATTGAATGCCAAAAACATGATATAATTCAACAATATTAATGTCTTAGATGAAAAGGACTTTACCTAGTATGAAGGTCAGATCATCAGAGCCATCAAGATGAAAGATGGTAACAATATCATCATCATGACTAACACCAACCAGCACTAGGAAGATGTTATTGACATTAATGAATTTGCCAACAATGGGTTTGCTGCAGTGGAAGTCGATCAACCCAGAAGGGTTCAAGTGAAGATTAGCAGGAACTCCAGTTTCAGTGTTGCGAACTGTGATCTCGAAACCTATCTCAGCAATATCCACCCTTCCCATACCAGTTGGGTTGAATTCACTGTTAGATATAGCAAAAACTGAGTTCAGCAGTCTGCTTGCTGGTTTTAGTTTGAAGTCGATGACTTTTTCTGGGATCGGATTTGAAGATTCAGCCAAGCTGCTGCCAGATGGGCCAACACTGAATCCTAAGTACTCCAATTCATCTGGCTGAAAATCCATATGTTCAGAGTCACTGATATTCACCTCTTCCGAGCCACTTCCAGCTCCCTCTTCAGAGCTACTTTCTTTCTTGTCCTGAGAGTTAAACACAATTTTTTCCGCTTTGTAGATGAACACCAGATCACCGAGTGTATTGGATTCGTTTAGGCCAAATTGCATCATGATACTATCAGCTGGTGTTCCAAGAAAAGACACTACAAGACCTGGTGCCACATGTGATGCTTTTCTCATGGCTTGCGAATGAGGGATTTAGAACATTCCTCGATGTATCTTCCCTTTTAATTTCCCAATCCCCTGGTTCCAATAATCTGCAAAGTTCACAAGGAAAAAAGTTATTATTAGTCATTGGCACCAATTACAGAAATCAGATCATTTTGAACTTGAGATTTGAGCATTACCCCATTTTCTCCAAACTTAGCCCAGAGTGCATGTTTTCCGACATGGTAAGTCACAAAGTTCTGTTCTATGCTCACAAAAACTGATTACATAACGGAAACACACAGATTAGACCAAGTTTACGTCAATAATATGATTGACTAATTCATGAAGAATGAGATCGGATAAGGACCTCGTTGAGGCATTCCAAGTTGTTGTAGTAGGTCGACCATTTTCCTTAGATATAAAGCTGTGAGACCAGCCTCACAGTACAATTCGACAGCAGGAAATCCCTCAATGTCAGCATGCATTTCCAACAAGTCTACATTATGCTCTTCATCAAGATTACTTCCTGAAATAATTATATAGGAAAATTACTAAAACATAATCAACTTAAGTAATCAACCCGACTGGAATTCAGAATACTTGTCCAGAAAATAAAAACAGTGTTTTGTATTTTTAGAGAAGAGAGAGGTATGATTTTCTTTGTATTTTTGCTGAAGAGAAACTGAGCTTATATAGGCAGCAAGGAGGAGCAACGGTCAGCAGGGAAGGAGGAAGAAACGGCCAGATAATTAAGGCCGAAACAGCTACCCGTTATACTCCATAATCAAAGGATGAACCTAGCCAAAAAACTGTCCAGATTAACTTGGTCAGTCAAGAGCAATAATCAAGGGGTGTAACAGTTAGCTGTAATCAAGGGATTAACGGCTAAACAATTTCCTAACAATCAGGGAATCCCAACAATCAAAAACGGCTAGAATAAATAAGGAATATTCTGTCATTGGTGGGGTAAAGGGAGGAGTCCAAGTACGTAGTATTTTCAATCCATTTATTGCATTCTAGAGTGTGAATGCATGACAAATGAAAAAAAAAAAAGGATAGATAAAGATATGATCTTCCATTAGACCTACAATTTCATAATGTGACCTTAATTTGCTTTTCCTAATGGATGAAGTATAATACGGAGTACGATACATCAGGGTGTTAAAGTAGCATTTTTATCAGCCTACATTGCCATTCTTCATTTGCATTCTAAGATGACTCTATATTAACAGTTAGATCAAGCAGATACAGAGCTATAACAGGTGCTAAAATATTCATAATAAAGCCAAATTAAGCAAGCACACCGTATGTTTGACGCAACACATACTTGATCAGCTGATCAGCTAAATCATGTACAAATTTGTTTTGTGTAAGATATTACGAAGTAACTTTAACTGTACTTTCCACATTCCAGGAAGTTCACAATAGTTCATCAATAACTAATAGCAACACTTCAATATTTACAGTGCGAAATTAGCTATTGGAGTATAAACCAGTTTAGATCTTGTCAGATTGGCCAACTCTGAATGCTAAACTCTTCGATTGTTCTGATTTTGGAGCAATCACTTCAGAGTCACTAACTTTTTCCCCATGAGAGCTGTTTCGGGGTTTTCTGATGTCCTGCGGGAGAGTTACAATTCCGAGACTGGAACCGGACGCCTGTACCTGCAAAATAACGGAGACTCCTGAGAGCTCCGCCTCCAACGGTCAAGTTAGTACCCGATTAGGGAGTAATCAATACAGAAATTAAAGTAATGAGATCTCTCTAGGTGAGAGTGCTTAGTGTTGGTAATCTGCGTTGTTAGCGAGATTAGCCGGTTGTTAATAACTCTGTTCTTCTCTGCTTGATCTCTGAATTATTCGATCCCCTGATTAATGAGGATTAATCGAGTATTTATAGCCTTGAGAAGCGTGCAACTCTCTAGGTTTAAGGTAAACCTAGGGCTGACCGGGCCTCTAGACTGGACTGGGCCTTGATGGCTGGTGTTCCCATTTGGCATGGGTGGACACGTGGCGTGTCTAAAGTGGTCCGTAGAGGACGTATCTGTGATTGACACGTGGCAAGCTCCTGTTGGCCTTCGTGAAGGACACGTGGCGGAACCTGGTTGGTCCACTTGTCAGACGGTGATTGGTGGATAAAAATCCCCTAATCATTTGCCCCTCACAGGTGGCACGCGACTGGTCACGTGTCGCCTGTGACAGGTGTCGCACGGTGACAGGCGACGGCCTGTTACAGGTGTCACCTTGCAGACGGCCGAGAGATTTTCCCGCCCAAATTTTGAATTTGGAAGCGACCCTTCGCCTTCTCACTTTGCCTATAAAAGGAAGTGCTGACTTCGGTCATTTTCACATTTGAGAACTTTGCGAGAACATTCGGACCCCTGAACTTGCTCTGACATTTTGGACTTTTTCTGCCTACCGCCTGTTCTGACAAGCCGACAGACCCGAACTTCCAGGACTTCATCAACCGTCACTCGTTCAGGTAACTCAGTTCTCTTACTCTTAATTTTCTTTTTATTTTTTGAAATGGCACCATGGAAGCACACGACACGCCCTAAGTTAGTGATCAGCCGGTCACCGGGGACGGCTGAATCTAGGACTAGGAGTGCCGCCTGCCCTTTTCTGGACCCATCTTTGCCCTTTATACAAAGTCCGACTGTATCTGTGTCTATGCAGAACGTGATGGCCAGAACAAAAAAGACTGCTATGATATCAAACTCAGACGGCTCCTCCCAAAGGGTGCTCCTTAGTGAAACATCTGACCAGGCGCCAGATGTAGAACGAGGCGACTGTCAAGCTGACAGTTCTGAGAGAGGGACCAAGGTGTTCCCTTCCCATCTTACCGTGGACATGTCTAATTTTCCTTCTGCTCCTTCTAAGGGAGAGGAGGCGGGCCCCTCTAGGAGAGGGGAGGAGTCGTCCTCTTCGGACTCGTCAGGAGACGAGTCCGAATCCAGCTCTTCTGGCCACAGTTCTTCTGGCTCAGAAGAAAAACATAGCCGCCTACAAGAGGCGAGACGTTCTCATGCAGTTGAGAAGGGGGATAATTGGGCAGAGCCGTCCGCCTCTTACAGAGAGGAAAACGCCCCCTACTACTGCAGGGTACCCCGGGGCCGGATTGCAACCATGCGAGACAACGTGGCGAGCTTTATTGCTAACCACAAAATGGGCCCGGAGTTTTTACTGTTTGTGCCGGATCCAGAAGATACTGTCGTCTGGCCGGCTGGTACCAGCTATGGTGACGGCTGCTTTGGCTGCTATGTGGCGGCCATCAAAGCTGGACTGCGCTTCCCATTACATCCGGCTGTTCAGCGGATTTTAGATGGGTATGATCTGGGGTTATGGCAGTTAGCCCCCAACTCTTGGGTAAACGTACTCGGCTATGTGGCCGGGTGCGAACTGAACGGGGTGGAGCCAAGTTTTGAGGCTTTCGCCCACATGAACTATCTCAGCCGGACCCCTAAGTCGGGAGGTACCGGCTGGTATCAATTAACAAGCCATAGGGGTTACCTCATGACGAGAGGTAAGGCAAACAAATGGAAGGATTGGCGGAACACCTTTCTTATTATCGAGAGTTCAGACACGGAGCTGAACAAACGCTTTAACAAGTGGAATAGGGATCCGCCTCTTCTCGCAGGCGGCCGCAGCATGCCGCCTGTTCCCCCAAAGGCTAAAAAAGAGATCCTAGACAAAGGACTCTTCAAAGTAGAGACTAGGGTGAACTCTACTTCAGGGGTACGAGAGCAAGTACCCCTAAACTGCGTCCCGAGCTTCAAGTGGCTCTATGACGAGTACTTCTTGGCCGCCTGTGGCCTCAGCAGTCGGTGCTCTAGAGGTAGCCGGCCTGACGAATACTCTGTTTTTTCACGCCTTGTTTACTTGGGATTTTTACTAACTTTGCTGTTTATTTCTTTCAGCCGACGCCATGAGTAAAATAACAGCATCTAAGACTGCGGCGGCCATGCTGCGGGTCTCGCTAATGAAGCAGTCGTATGCCGACTCCCCCAACAAGGAGGCACCCTTGGTAAGCTTTGAAAACTCTTCTCCTTTTAGTTGTCTTATGCATATACTAACTCCTTTTGTTTTCAGTCTGGCACTCCAAGGGCTTCTTCCTCGCAACAGCCGGACCCCAAGGCCCGGAGGACGACTGTTGCAAGCTCTCCTGGGTCTTCCAGGAAAACAGTGGCGGCTGAGAAGCAGCCGGCCACTTCTTCAAAAACCCAGGCGGGGCCGCCTAGATGTATGGACACTTGCTTGTAAAAACTCACCCTTGCTTCCTTCTTGATTAGGTCTAACTTGTTTTTTCCTTTCGCTTAATGCAGCCGGCCCCCAGGGACTTGACTTGGTTGAGGTAGCCAAGTCAATGGTTAAAGTAGTTCCTCCATCTGACAGGGAGGCGGTCAAGGGTGCCGGCACCCTTGACCTTGATGGAATTTCAGGGGTCCTTGCTGAGGTATACTTAGTATATTTTTGAGCTTTTTGAGTTCTAGGACGCCTGTTAACTTTTTATCTGGAAACTGACGCCTGTTTTTCTTTGTACTTAGGCCCTGCTCCGAGTCAACAGCCTACGCAAGCCGATTGATCGGAAAAACAAAGAGGTAAAGGCCGCAAAGGCTATGGCCGCCTCCAGCTGTGATAAGGCAATGTTTCAAATTGCCCAAAATGAAGTACTGACCATTGATCTTCTTTATTATCAGGCGCAGGCGACCGCCGCTGTTCGGGCTCAGCTAGAGGCGGCCCAAAAGAAGGTTGACGAGCTGGAGGGGACCGTCACCAACCTTAAAGCCGAGCTGAAACCCCTTCGCCAAAAAATGCACTCTTACGAAGCCATGGAGAAATCTTTGGCTAACGTAAAAGAACGCCTGGTGAACCAGGAGAAGAGTCTTACCCAAGAGCTCTCGGATAAGGCCGAGCAAGAGAAACAAGAGCTCGTCCGGGAGATGGTGGAAGACTCCGCTCAAATCCAACGCATGACCTGGGAACGACTGTTCCCCAGTGCCGACTTTGCCTCGTGGGAAAGAACGTACCGCCAGTGTTCGGAAATATATAATCAACAGATCCTAGCGGCTGCTGAAGAAGAGGCGTTGGACGGTGCGTTGGAGGAGGAAGAGCCGGTTGTGGCGCTTGTGCCACTTGGGGGTAAGGCATCAAAAGATGGTGCAGCTAAGGCCGAGTCCAGCAAGAAGAGTGCTGACCAGGCGGCTGCTGCTGATACTGAACTGCCCCCTTCTTAAGCTTTAAGTATTTTTTCTTTTCACGGCCTGCGTGCCGTTTGCTTTGTAATTACCCGGCCAGGGGGCCGGGGTTTTGAATATTCTGCTGGTCTTTTGTGGCCGGCTCATTTTTAATCAAATGTTTTGTTTTGGTTCAAATTTGTCTAAGTATTTGAAATTTGCTCACTAGACCGACTGTTGTGTATGGCCGAACGTTAAGACAGGTACAAATAGTAAGTATGCCGCCTATGCCCCTGGACGACTGGTTGTCTGTTTCCAGGATAGATGATCAGTCGGCCATTTAATCAATCGGTATTCGAACTCTTTATTCAATTTGACCAAGTAAATAGAATTACCTAGTAGCCAGGGAATTAAGTAGGAAAACAAGCGGCGGGTACCGGTTGTTTCCCTTTATCGCCAATGTTGGCTTTTAACTCGTTATTTGTTAACCTAGCAAGAGTATTGGTTGAGAGCCTTTGTTTATTAAAAACAAGTGGACGACTCATACCTTTTAGGCTCCATACTAAGTTTGAGTGACTATTAAGTTAACATAGGAGTTACTTAGTCTTTGTCACAATCTTGATTGAGTAGTAGAGGTATCAGGCGGCGTAGGCCGGCTAGACCCCTTGATTCACCAATGTTTGTTGGCTATTAACTCAATAGGTTATCCAGTAGGAATAGGGGTTCGAGTGCCCTTGTTTGTTTAAAACAGGCGGACGACTCAAACTTTTTAGATTCCATACCAAATTTGAAGGAGTGACTATGAGTTAACTTTGGAGTTACTCAGTCGCCATCACTTTTGTTTGAGAAGTAGAGGTACCAGGCGGCGTAGGCCGGCTAGACCCCTTGATTCGCCAATGTTTGTTGGCTATTAACTCAATAGGTACCCCCTG